GGGACATTTGTTTCAGAAGGGCGCTGCCAGCAGCCTATTAACTTACATTTGGACAAACAGTCTTGAATCCAGAAACACATACATTAATCTTCAAAGATGCCAAATGCAAAGTGTAAAGAAAAAATGGCATCATTACAAACATAATTGGTAACATATTTTTGCAGGAGTTCTGTCATCAGTGATGATTCAATTCCAACTCGTTATGGTCTGTTGATCAATAAATAAATCCTAGAAATAGAGATGATAAACTTTTCCGGTAAACATTTATTGCGTCGCTGTTTTAGGCTACTAAATTTGATTGTCTGCTAAGTAAAATGTATTGCAGCTGAAAGAATGCATTGATGTCTAAAATACCAGTAATATCAAAGTACTTTGATTATATACACTACCTTACAAAAGTCTTGTCACCTATCCAAATTTTAGGAACAACAAATGACTCCCATGAGCTATACATCTCTGCAATGACTCAAATCACTTATTAATGAAGGAAAGAAAGCGTTCTTGCAGGACTCCCAGAGTTTATCAAGATTCTTTGGATTTATCTTAAATGCTTCCTCCATCATACCCCTGACATGTTCAATAATGTTTATATCTGGTGACTGGGCTGGCCAGTCCTGGAGCACCTTGACCTTCTTTGCTTTCAGGAACTTTGCTGTGGAGGCTGAAGTATGAGAAGGAGCGCTATCCTGCTGGAGAATTTGCCCTCTCCTGTGGTTTGTAATGTAATGGGCAGCGCAAATATCTTGATAGCTCAGGCTGTTGATGTTACCATCCTCTTTGCAGATCTCTCGCACACCCCCATACTGAATGTAACCCCAAAAATCATGATTTTTCCTTCACCAAACTTGACTGATATCTGTGAAAATCTTGGGTCCAAGCAGGTTCCAGTAGGTCTTCGGCAGTATTTTTGATGATTAGGATGCAGTTCAACAGATGATTCATCAAAAAAATCTACCTTCTGACACTTTTCCAAATGATCAACTAGAAGTCAACATATTATTCGGTGCTCTTACAACTGGGATCGACTACAAGGCTTTTGTCAGATAGTGTAGTACCTCATGAACTTTCTGAGTTTGATTGCTGTCGTGCAGTTTGCATAGTGTTTAACTAACCTACAAAGTGCAGTTAACCATCCAGTTATTGAACAGAAGACTTTCGATTGTATGCATTTTATATTTGCACAAAGTACTAAAGCTGGGCATTTATTATTGCAAGTGCATGCATATGATTTGATCATGCCTCTATCTGAAGATGCTAAATTTAGGCCACTTCTGCAAGAGTTTGGTCGTTCTTGTAGGCAAAAAACATTAAATAAAGAATTAAATCTACAATAAATTAACTTGATAAACATTGGATACCAAAATCAAGTGGAGAGTGCCGTAATTCACCTCTCATAACCTAATTTGTACATTTATTGAACTGTTCTTGTTGTAGTTGTTATATTTACTCAGTCTAAAGTGTTCTTAATATGTAATGCTTTAGACTGAAGAGATAATTCTGAGAAAAATCCACGTTTCATTGTGCATATAGCCTTATACAATGAACAAATCTTCCTTCATCGCGTTGGATTTTTACTTGATTTGGTTGCTTTACAATATCAACAATAATAATAAAAATAATAATAACAAAAAATTAAATTACAAAATGAGTAAATAATTCATTAAGTTATTAATAGATGTCCTAAAAAATAATATTCAAACGTCTTAAGTTTTGTCCCTCTAAACACATTGCATAATTTAAAGTTTATATGGCTTATATTGCTTCTCCTCAATCAGTACTGCTTGCTACCATTTCATACATAAATTAAGGTAATCAGAGGGAATTAGCCAGTACTGTTTCAAATAGCTGACTTCTAGCACGCATATAAATAAGACAACTGCTTTCAGTGTTAAGAAATGCTAAATTATATTGAGTTAGTATAAAATGTTCTGAGCCAATTGTATGGTTGGATTGCTATTGCAATGAGCGTTTACTCTATAGGACAGGTAAAGGGATAGTTCATTCAAAAAAAATAATAATAATAATCATGTGAGGTGTCATTTAATAAAAAAATGGTCCCACTTTATATTGTGGCCTTCACTAATATGTACTTACACAGGAATTAATAGTTTGTTACAATGTACTTATTGTGTAAATACATGTATTTACTGTGTATGTATGCTTGATTAAATACCAGTATGTAATTACTTCTGTAATTAACTTTTGTAATTACATTTGTAAATACACTGTTGACCATCCCTTGCACCTTAACCCACCCTTAAACCTACCCATGCCACCAAACCTGTCCATAACCCAACCTCTAGCCCAACTCAAAAGCACCATAAGTGTTCTCAAATACATTATAAACACAGTAAGTACATTGTATTTTTTTTTTGATGCAAGTACATAGTAGTTGAGGACACTTAATGTAAAGTGGGACCAAAACTATAAATGATAATGGTGTTTTTACACAAAGCTATTGATTTTCCAATCTTTGGTGTTTTTTTTAAAGCTTCAAAGCCATTCTTCATTTTGGATCTTGAAAGCCACCTTAATCTTTTGATTATATTTTAATGTGCAGCATCAAATTTTCATCAATTTCTTGCAAACAAGTATTTTTGTCTAGTTTTTCAGTGAAATGTCTAAAAATTATTACATCAAGATACTTGATATTGTGTTAGATCTCTTCATTGAGAAGGTATAAATAAGCAAAAATCACCTATTATTTATGTCTAAGCACTTCAGAAGTGAAGACATTGGTATAGTATTGGCTAAAAATTAAAATAAACATTTTCAAGAGTTCACACTTAGCTGATGATTGATTATAAAGCGTGTTTGGCATGCTGTCGTGGGAGAGAGCTTTGAGCTCATAAGATTCTCAAGCCTAGGGCTCCTTCCAATTTGCAGGGCGAGAGGGGAGTTTGAGCTCAGGTAGATCTTGAGAACTCCCCTGGTGTTTATGGCTAATGACAAATTAGGACTTGCTATGGAAAGGTATACTGCTGACTAGGAGCTCATCTGTGGCGGCAATTTAGTTTAGGCAATTTACTTATGTCGCATGTCTTTGGACGATGGGAGGAAACTGGGGAAGAAAGCACGGGGAGAAAGTGTAAAGCCGCCGTGCTGCCCAATCTAGGAGGAGTAGGGGTGGAAGTGAGAATTCTTCTAAATGAAGATGACTTTGGTATGAAACTCTGGTTATTTATGGTGACTAAGGAATCGTTTGATTGGTAAATCATGTGTTAGCTAATGCGGGACCAGCCTTGGTCAATCGTAAGCAAGTGATCCTCTCCAAAATTAGTTTATAAATAAACTTCAGTTGTTGTAATATGCAAAAATGCTCTAAATGACATTTGCATTTTAAATTTGAAGGAAATACTTTTAGTAGTTTACAGAATAAATGAAAAAAAAAAAAATTAAATGTACAACTATAATCCAGAAAAAAATGATTTTCTCCTCTTTTCAAACTTTTTATGTGGCTTTTTAAGCAAAATATCTTGATTTAAGAATTTTTAGATGTTTCCATTGTAAAACAGCCCTAAAATACTGCGTAGGGAATTCAGGTAAATAAAAGTATGTTTTCATTTTTGAGTGAACTATTCCTCGAATTCTGTGAGTGTTAAATCACTCACAGCTGATTGTGGAACGTCATATTAAGCAGAGTAATGCAGTAAATCACCCTTTTCTAAGGGTAATCTGTATTGGAGTATTAAAAAAAACATCAGTGCAGTCAAAAAAATACACTGCAACCTGTCAACTTTGTACCAATGTGTACCAGCAAGTGTCACATAGTACAAGTAAGAAACTATTAGATTTACTGAGTACCAATAAGATCCTACTAGCACTAACAAGTACCAGTGAGTACTAAAGATTACTCGCTAGTACCAATGATTACCGGTAAGTACAGATAAGTACCAAGGAGTACTGATGAGTACCAACAAGTATTAATGAGTACTAAGGTTGTGAAAAGTATCAAATTCGATAGCAATTGGTACTAAAATTTTAAAAACGTCCATTTCTTGCTAACATTTGAGGTTGAGATTTCCCGCTGTTCTTAAACACCACCGATTGGCCATTGTGTTCATGTGCTCAACAGATATGGCTGTGATTGGCTATAAAGGACATTTTAAAAATGTAAGTACTGATTGGTAACAAACTCGTTACTTTTGACAGTCCTAAAGAGTACAAATGCGTACCAGTTAGTCAAAGTTTACCAGTAAGTACTGATGACTATCAGCAAGTATCAGTGATTACCTGTAAGTACTGATGAGTACTAGCAAGTACCAGTGAGTATCGAAATGTACTGAGTGCCAGAAAGTACCAGTCCGTACCAATGATTACCAGTAAGTACTGATGAGTACTAGAAGGTACAAATGGGTACCAGCGAGTATCTATGAGTACCAGTATGTACCAATGACTGCTGAAAGTACCAATGAGTACCACCAAGTACCAGAAGGTACTGATGAGTACAAGTGAGTACCAATAAGATCTGATACGTACCAGTGAGATCTGTTGAGTACTAGTGAGTACCAATGAGTGCAAGTGAATAACCACGGGTACCAGTGATTACCAGTAAGTACTGATGAGTACTAAAAAGTACCAATGGGTACCAGTGAGTACCAATGATTATTAGTATGTACTGAGTACCAGAAAGTACTAGTGAATACCAATGATTACCTATAAGTTCAATGAGTACCACCAAGTAGCAGAAAGTACTAGTGAGTACTGATGAGTACCAGCAAGTACCAATGAGTACAAGTGATTTACAATGAGTACCAGCAAGTACCAGTGATTACCAGTAAGTACTGAGGAGTACTAACAAGTACCAATGGGTACCTGTGAGTACCAGTATGTACTGAGTACCAGAAAAGCAATGGTTACCAATAAGTACCAGTGAGATCTGATAAGTACTAGTGAGTACTGATGAGGACCAGCAAGTGCCAGTGAGTACAATTGACTGACAATGAGTACCAATAAGTACCGATGAATCTCAGCAAGTACCGACAACCGATACCAAAGAGTTTGTGCTTCAAATCGGATCATCCTCATTTCTAACACTCTGTCTTTAAGGCTAACAGTGCTGCATTGAGGTTTTGTTCAACCAGAGCATCTCAATATGGCCGCCACACGGACTCATCCATCCTGCCACTGGAGTTGAGCACAGTTGGAGAGCTGCTGTGGCTGCCGTCCGCCTCACCTCCATCCGTCTGATTGGGCAGGTTGGGGTTGATGAGGGTGCTGCCGGTGGATGCGCTAGTGCAAGGTGGAAGCATCCTGGATGGGGACCGATCACCCCCTGGCACCATCGAGAATTGGTATGACCCGGATGAGGCGCCGTAGTAGAGATATGGTGTGCTGCTGGTTTGGAAGGGCCCACTTTGGTTCTGGGTGGATCCGGGGTACGGTGGAGGCAGGTATGTGTGGTAGTGGGTGGTGGTGGACATGCCCAGAGACATGCCGGAGGTCACCGGTGTTGGGGTGTAGGTGAATGTTGCTGGATAGTGCATTCTGGGACTGGGAAAGCGGCTGTCTGTGAGGGACGACAGGCTTGGGAATTGACGCTCAAACTGGCGGGGGTCGGCTGAGAAAGGACTGAGTTCTGACGTACCTGGAGGAGAGAAGGGAGAAGTTGATTTAGTGATATTTCATTTGTAAGATGTTTTAAATATAAAGACACTTTGTGAAAATGAATTTATTGGGAATTTCTATTTTTTTTTCAGTAAAGTTGAAGTGATATTCATGATGTTGTAAATGTAACTTAATTTTGGCATTTTAAATCAATTTAATTTAAGTCACTTTGAAAAAGTAAACCATTTTCTTTTATATTACATCGTTGTTTTAGTCCTAAGTATATTTTATAGGTTTAAAGGTGCAATATGTAAGTTTGACACCCAGTGGTTCAACTAGGTATCGCATTCCTGGATCAAAACAAACGCAAGCACAGGTTGCCAGATTGAGGATCAACCAGAGCGAGTGTTCTAAATAAAAGCAATGGCACGCGATAGAAGGAACATTTTTCATATTAAAAGGAGTTTTTGTTATAATCAACACCTCAAATTTATATACTATACACACATTTATACACCTCAAATCTACTTGCAGCAGAACAAAATAAAACTGACAATGATCACGTCAAGTACACCCCATCTGCTTTATTCAGTGTTAAACGCTAGTGATGTGAGTCTGAATGTCATTTTACATTATATTTATTGCCATACTACTGAAAGCAGCAGCAGATAGTTCACCTCAGATCTTGAAAATAAACCATTTGAAATTGAACTGTGCAAATCAACACATATCAGTGATTCAGCATCTACATTTAACAATGTTAAAGAGGCTTAATATGTATTAATTAGATTATAAACCTTACCATTTGGCTGGTGTGCAGTATGTGCACTATTCTATGCTTCTGAGTGGCTGTATTTTAATTTCTGTCGTGTTCCGCTCGTGCAAACAGCCAAATTGCTTATCACTGCAAATCTCGTCATGTAGCGTGTTGTTAGGACACGGGGTTACAATGTAACTTGCTTTCCTAATGTTTCCATTGGTAATATTTATCTTATTTGCTAATTAATAACCTCATTTGGAACTTTGAACCTGCATCTCATTTCGGAGTCTGCTACTGTCCAATGGAGGTCGCATTTCGATCACAAGCACATGCTTTTAAGAATGAATGAATGAAATCTGTGGTTTTCTGACAAGGCACCCAAGGGTGCAGAAATATAATTGGCTAAGCTGGCATCGGGCGCGTTAAAAGAACCAAAACAAAGACACCCGTTCCATCACAGAATACACATTTTCAAAGCAGAATATCTGACTTCAGCATTGTTTTTCAGATAAACAAGACTGTTCAATTAGCATGTTTCTTAAATATCTGCAAACATATTATGGTATTTTTATCCTTTAGAAGAGTCAAAAACTGACATACAGCACCTTTAAAAATATATGATATCAATTCAATATTAAACCAGATGAAAGCTAAATATTTTTTCAAAGTTTTCATTATAATTCTTATGCAGACATTTTCAATGATATGTTCGTAATCTTTTGTTTGTATAAAAAAAGTGTGGAATGTTATTTTGCAAAATAATTAATTAATTCAGTCATTTTTCTTTGGCTTAATCCCTTATTTATCAGGGGTCACCACAGCAGAATGAATCGCCAACTATTCCAACATATGTTTTACGCAGTAGATACCTTTCCTGCTGCAACCCAGTACTAAGAAACACCCATACATTCTCACATTCACACACACACACACACACACTCATACACTATGGCCAGTTTAATTTATTCAATTCACCTATAGCAAATGTGTTTGGACTGTGGGGTAACCGGAGCACCTGGAGGAAACCCACGCCAACACAGGGAGAACATGCCAGTCCCCTGAAATGCCCCTGTTAGGTGATAGTGTTAACCACTGAGCCACCGTGCCGCCCTTGCAAAACAATATTTCAGTTAATTATTTTTTAAATAATATATATATTATTAGTGTAATATCAGACTTTTGAGTCCAATTGCACGGAACATTCAAAAAGTAATTATTTAATGATAACAGAAAAAGTGCAGTAAATGAAATAATCCTTAATACCTATTTTTATTCATCATTTAGTTTTTTAAACGATTCCAAAGCAGTTCATTTCCAAAACTCATTTGCAATTAAAATTTTTATAATCAACTTTCAGCTTATGTATTGTAAATTAATTACGGCTTAGGCATAAAAACGTAACACGCTCAAAATTGTTTGCTCTTTGTTTAAACTACTTATTTAAAATGAGCTGAATCAACACAACTCTTTAGATTTTTTTGAGACAACTTCATTGTTTCATGTTCAATCAACTTGAATTTTTAAAAACGAATAAGATAACTCAATTCTTGCTCCAAACACAAATCGATTGTGTAGATCCCAGCATCTTTACAGCGAAGACAAAAACTATAGACCATTTTAAGGGATGTAAACAATAACAATGGTCCTCTAACATATTTCCTGGTTTACATTTTTAACTTCCATAGCTTTCTAGAATCCAAAAAGCTCCATATATTGATAAATAATCCTATGGCTGGTGTTTTAACGTAAAGTTGTCATTGAATTGCCTCTTGTTACAGTTATGAAATAGTTTGACAACAAGCAGGAAATTTTCATTGGCCAAAGACATCACCACATTGAAATGGTCTATACACTGTAAAAAATGCTGGTTTCAATACATGTTATCCCAACATAAATTGATTTATTGATTGAAGTTAACTTAATTGCTTTTGTAAATGTGGAGTGAACATAAAACAATTATGTTGTCCCTCCAAAAACTAAAGAATTGTGTTGAGTCAGCTTATTTTAAGTACTGTATGTAGTTTGAACAAGCAGCAAAAACATTTTTGAATGTATTATCCAGGGCTCATACGGTCATGAAAAAACCTGGAAAAGTCCAGGCCAGGAAAAGTTTTGGAAAAACAGAAAAACCCGCAAACTTTTGGAAAAGTCATGGAAGTTAGTTTAACAAATATCTGTAAACTTGAATTAGGGCTGCGCGATATTGGAAAAATCTGACATTACCATATTTTGTATTTCTGTGATGTATATTGCGATGTGAATACAATTTCACCAGATCAGGGGTTCTCAAACTATTTTCATCAAGTACCACCTCAGAAAAAATTAGTCTCTCCAAGTACCACCAAAATGAGCAGTATTGAAATACAGTAGCGTAGTAGGCCCAAAAAAGCAGCTACAACTCTGCACAGTTAAAAAAAAAAAGTGGCAGATTACCTCAGAAATAGAGACTATGTCATATATGGCATATTATATACATCATTTTTAAGTAATTTTGAAATATATGTACCACCACGTACATGACACATTTAATTCCTCCGTGTGCCACTAGAAGGAAGCCCGCGTACCACTAGTGGTACACGTACCACAGTTTGAGAACCACTGCACCAGATGATTTAACAGGCTTATTTGGATTGATTGGATTTTGTTGGCGAGTAAATCTCGAGTAATATATAACAAATAAATTTCAAGCATAGATAAATAAATATAGCAAAGACAAAAGTGAATCATTGTTTTCAAGTATTCACTATTCTGGTACAGATATTGAATAATCAACACTGCATGGTCTTCATTGTATATTATTTAATCTTTATTAAAGTTACAAAAAATACTTGTGGCCGAATGTTTTAAAATCTAAAATATTGAAATGTTCACAACTCTTAATCCATTATAATTAAACTCTATACTAATGAGTCCGATTTAACATCGCATATGCTGCGATGTGACTATTGCGGATACATGCATTGCGATATCGATGCTGAAATGATAAATTGTGCAGCCCTAACTTATATATAAGTTGGTTGTCTTTACTTCCTTTCTGTCCTTGGCCAAAAACTTGCTCTCACATTACGTAAGCATTATCAAAATCAATTTCACATAGATATAAAAACAAATTTAAACAAAATAGTTTGTTGCTTGTTCTGTGTTATGCTGTAATAAATCTAAATGTCATTGTTTTTCTTATTGTTTACCATGTATATGTAGACATGAATCAATAGGTCATGAAAATTTACTTGAAAGTTCTGGAAAAGTCTTGGGAAAGTCGTAAAACTTTAGTAGTAACATTCTGTGTATGAACCCTGATTATCATTTGAAATGTATCCATTTTACCCATTAACATATCAGAAAAGATTGCATCCCTTTGTTAGTCATTTGTAAAAGACTGTGGCCTTTAATTGTATCAAAGTAGTTTCATACAAACCAATTAAGCCTGAAGCTAATGACACAAAGTTAAATCAGACAGAAGAGGGCGCTGTCAAACTTATTTACACACAGCTCCAACTAGCCTATCAACACAAAAGTGACTAAAAAGTTTGTGAGTGCATGCATCCTCCAAATAACGAAACTGTCATGTGAAAAATAATGACAGTAATTATGACGAGGCTGTCCTAAACAATTTAATTAGAGTGAAAACAATTTAGTCTTTGTTGTTATAAATAAACCAAGTCAGTGTTTGAGGAAACCCAAGCCACGGAAGCATTCTGAAATGACACTAAAGAAAAAACACTTCACATTAAGGTAGCATTACAAACAAATTAGCTTTGTTAACATTAGGTAATGATAATAAAGTTGTTTATAGGGTATATGCTGAGCTAGTGTTTCCCACACTAATAAACTTCCGGTTACCTGTTATTGTGAGTTTTTTTGCCATTTTATACGGTTCCTTTTACAGCATCGATGTTGTAATGTCATTCAAATACAATCAGTTAAATAGACTTTGTCATTTATTTAGTTGCTGAAGTGTAAAACGAGACAAAAAGCCATTTGCTCGCATGCCCTCGTCAGAATCGGCAGGTTAGCGCAGAAGCTCCATTGATTATACAGGGGTAAAATAAATGCTCATATTATACAGACATGACAAGGCAAGGCAAGGCAAGTTTATTTATATAGCACATTTCATACACAATGGCAATTCAAAGTGCTTTACATAAACAAGAATAAAAGAAACAAGTAAAATAAAAATAAAAACAAATAATAAAAATGCGTCAAAACAAAACATAAAAAACAGGTAAAATGTGATATAAAAGAATGAAGAAGAAGAGAAAAACATGATTGTGCAATCT